TTTTATTTTTTTTTTTAAAATATTGCTGCTTAAATTTATTTTAATTTATATATTTTGCGGAGGTTAGAAGTTAGAGACTGTGTTCTGTAGTTGGTGCGAGGTTGGATGATGATTTCATTGATTTGGAGAATTATCAGTGATGGGCATAGGGCATCTTGTGAATGCTCCACATTGCTCATTTTGCATTTTATAAATAGAAATAATTAAAATACAAATATAGAAAGTATTTGGTATTTTTCATCCTATAAAAAAGACGATTTAAAATTTAAAAAACTTCGTTTTTTTATTTTATTTATATAAATAATTCCTTTATGCAAGCGGACATTTTAATTGATTGGCATTGAATTCGTATTTATATTGTCATAAATGAATGTGTAAAAGTAACAAATGGTTTAATTATCTATTACTTTAATTTTAGTAACCTAAACTCTCTTTTTTATGTGTACTTAACTTTCTTTCTATGGAAATGGAACCAACGTTTTAAGCCAATTTTATTTCAATTGAGTTTACGTATTTTAACCGATTATGCGAAATTAAAGTTGAAATTTTTTTTAGGATGAGTACTACTCAAGACTTGCTAGTTCTGACATTAATTTGAAATTTGAAGTAGTCAGTGTCAAATAGTTTAGACTTTGGACTTAAGTAGCAAATGCAAAAATGTGGGGATGGGGGGATAAAGCCTAAAGGTCCTAAAATATTTATTTGGGCTAACTAACGCGGAAGGCCCAATGACATTGGTCTCTGAAAGTTACTAGGAAATTAATGGAATCATGGACCAAGATTAAATTAATGAAAGGGTTGAAATGATGTTGAGAACAGAATCAAAGGGACAATAGTTGAATTTTGGAAAATGTGGTTGTGCCAAAAATTGAAGTGGTTGGATTGGATGCATGCTTTGAGTCAATGATCACAGTCACATGTTTGCTTGTCCAGTGGGTTGATTTTCTTTGCTCTGTCTCCATCAATAAGAAGGACACTTGTTTTTCTTTTTTCCTTTTCCTATTCTTCACACTGTAAAAATATTGATCTTATACATTTACCATCCAAGGGGAGGGAAGTTTTGATTTTGACATTTGAAAATTTTGTGCCGTTACCGCCATAGCAAAATAGACCATTCACCAATCAATTTTTTACCTTCGTATACTGAAGACCGTTAGGAACACATTATTTAACGCATTTATTTTTAATACATACTTTTTATTTGTTAAAATTTATTAATTACTATAAAATTATCATAGTGATTTATTAGATAAGTTGTGAGATTCACAAACATTTATAATTTTAAATAAATTTCAATAAAAAAATGTGTCAGAAAATATTCTCAATATTTCTCTATGCGATTATCAGCCGCTAGAATCTGTTTTAGTGGGGAAAAAATTACTATAATCCTGTCAAATGAACGAAGAGAATATTCCAAATTAATATTGAGGTTTAAAATCCTTGTGTCCCCTCACGTCGTTTTTTTCTTAATGGAAGAAGTAATCGAGACAAGGGTATGATTTTATATTTAATTTAATTAAATAGAAATTTTATAATATTTGATATTCAAAATTTAAAATTGATCTTAAAACCATATATTGTGCGTTACAACGTTTCGATTTATATGTACCTTTTTAAATTTGATGACATGAGAATGCATACATGTTTCATCGGTAAATCAGTGCAATTTCAATGGTTTATTATTTAGAAACTAATATTGTTTGTAATAGTGTCGCTGATCAGAGATGAATTCTCACGGACTAGAATGAGAGACTGAGATTTTTAACTAAATAAATTGATTTCTCAATGTGTAATTACGAGATGGTTAACCACTATTCTAATCTATTATGTTCTTTTTAAAGGTATATGAAATATATATATAGCTCTTAAAAAAAACAAAATGCATACAAAATATACTTTAGAATAGCTAATTACAAATATTTTAAATAGAATAATTTAAAAGGTTAAATAAGTTCAAAGATTTTAATTTTTAATCGGTACGAAAATATCATTTTTTTACGGTGTTTCATCTGTTTATAGGTAAGATTTGATTGATTTATAGAGAAAAATGTAAAATATAAAAATAAAGTTATTTATTACAAAAATCAATGAAGCATTTTTAATGATTAAAATATATTTTTGATTCATAAAATTTGAAATTTTTTAAAAAATAATATGTATTTCAAATTTATCCATTTTTAGGTTTTAAAATTAAGGAGATATATATTTTAATCTTAGATAAAAAGTTTGCAAATATACTATTTTTGTTAAATATATGAGCTAATAATAATAATAAATATAGAATAAAATAAAATAATTTTTTTCAAGAAATTCAAATATATTTTAGTTATATTTTAATAACTTGCAACTCTTTTAAAGTATGTGTATATTTTTTTATCATTTTTTTTTATTTTAGTTGGTAATTATAATTTTAAACTTTGTTTTTATAGCGTACATCTATATATATTTTTTTTAAAAATATCATATAAGTTTTCCAATTGAATCTTAGCTTTAAAGTTATTAATTTCATTTACGTAAACTCAATTTTATGTCTTGAATTTTAGATAACGATGGAAATACCCCCCAAGCAACGCATTTTAGAATTATGGCGAATTGTTTGTATGGTTTTTCTGTCAAATTTGTTTGAAAACTAAATAATAAAATTATAGAGACGGAAAAGATAATTAAATGAAATAAAAGTTGTAATCAATACTAAGCTAAATAGGTCTAATAGTTTTAATACTTACATTTAAAAGGTTTGACTTATTAAAATAGATAAAATTGGTCTAATTTTTCCATGCCTAAATTTGTAAGCCTAATCTAACATTTTATAGAACTCAATTTGTGAAGCCAATTCATTGAATCTTATTGACCCATCAAGTCAAACTCAAATTGTCACCACAAAGTTTAGAATCTACATTTTTTTAACAAATTCACGTCTAAGAATTCTCCAATGAGAATAAGCAAAAAAAAAATGTTTTCATTCTTTATTTGTATATTAGGATTTGCAAATTTTTACATTAAAAATGCAAAAATGCTTTTCTAAAAGAAGAAGAAGAAAAAATAAAAGAATTTTTATTTATTATTTTAAATAAAATTATTTATAAAAATCTATATATTTATTTTTAAATAATAATAGCAATAATAAAATAAATATAATAATAAATACTTTTTTATTGTTTTAAATAAATTATTTTATAAAAAATGTATATATTTATTTATTTTAATAATAATAATTAATATAATCATAACTTATATTCATTATTTGTAAATAATTATGTATAAAAATTAAATTCTAATATGTTTTCCTTTTACCAAATAATTTTTATTTTAACTTTATACTTTACTTATTTTTCTATACTTCTTTTTTCTTCTTTTCCATCTATTTATTTTTACTGAACACATGGTTAAGAGGGATTTGATGGACGTCAATCTTCAAGAACAAAATGTTTGTTTTTATGTTGTATATCTTTTTACCTGAATTTACTAATAAACGTGAATCCTTATATTAGCCCAATCACATATTTAATTCACATTAATATTAATTTGATTTGGACTTATTTAATAAATAACAAAGGGGATGAATTTTATTTTATTTTTTACAGTTTTTTAACTTTAAAAATAGTAGAATTTTTTAAGGATATTTTAAATATATTTTTAGACTTAGTCAATCAATTTTTATAAGCAAGTGTTGCGGGTTGCATCAATTGTCTCATGGCGGAGATTAGGTGGGCCAAGTCACTGTCGAATCATGGCGCTTGGGCTGCTACGCTCTTAAGTAAAAAGAGTTACGCCCTGACTATCAGCTATAGCTTTTGGCCTAGTGGTAAACGCTCTATCCAACAATTGGTATTAGTCACTGTCGAATCATGGCGCTTGGACTGCTGCGCTCTTAAGTAAAAAGAGTTGCGCCCTGACTATCAGATATAGTTTTTGACATAGTGGTAACACCAAGTATAAACAATATAATATTAATATTGTATTAAATTTTCTCTTTGAATGTCACAAAATTATATGCCTATCAACTTTATTCAAAAGGCTTAGTCCTGATACTCTGCGTGAAAGTTAAGATTCGTTGGCCACCTTGTTTTTATTTTTTTGGAAAAAATTTGTTAGCCACATTAGAGGCATATAGGTTTGTTTGTCTATTTAAAAAGCTTTGAATATGCTCTAATTAGATAAATAACATAAAGGTAAATAATAAAAAAAACCTAATATCAAGGTAAATAATAAAAAAAACCTAATATCAAGGTAAATAAACCATGTTCTTTGATTTGAAAAATATATTAGGCATGACTGGTATGTTTAAGGTAAAAATTAACCCATTTTCAGTTCAATTCTAAGACAAAAAACAAAGTTTTAATAATGACATAACTACATTGTATTTCTACCTTTATATACACCTGCATCTATTTTAATGTCATTTTAGATTTATACATTCAAATCAATAGATTGCATCAATAAATATTTAATAATTTATTAATATTTTGAGAACAAAGTTTTACAATATCACACGAGTGAGACAAATTTAAGAGAAGAAAGAAATTGCAGAATGAATGATGTAATAAAAATAGTGTAAAATTATTGTAAAAAGTTATTATTTATCCCTATTATAGAAGGAATAAGTTTAAATCTCAATTATATTTTTTACCTCTTCAAAAATAAAGAGAGACACACAAAAATACCTCTTTTTCCTTCCTAGTAAAAGCAACGTTTCTCTTTTTAGTAAAAGTTAAAAGTGCATTGTAAATTTATAATATCACTTCTAAACTGGCCTTAATCTCCCTGTTTCTGTGGTATCAATATTAGAAAAATAATTTTTTTCATAAATTAAAAAAAAAAATGATTACAAAGCTGCATTGGTTACCAATTTGCCTGCAAATCAAAGAAGTAATTTGAGGAAGGAAGCAAGAAAGGGGAAATAAGCAATAACAAAATGTTGGCTAACAAAATTGATTGATTTTGAAATGAACTAGGTAGCTACATGAAAACAGTAAAAAGATAATAAGAATTAAAATTAATGGACGCTTGTTACAAGCTTTTATACTATAAGAAGAATATGAGGAAATGAAGAGATGAGAATGAACAAAGAAATTGATGATATTTTAAATTTGGTATATAAGATCAGACGTTGACGGTGTTGCAGAGGAACATGAGGGACGATGCGGAGGCGTCGGTGCTGAGTCTTCCAGTCCCGAGCCTCTCGTAGGTGTCAATGCAGAACAAGGAGAGAGAGAGCTGGACCTCGTGCCGAGTCCAGACTCGCTTCCTCACTCGCTCCGAGTCTCCGAGTCGACTCAGCACGGGTCTCACGCACACCATGTAGAGGCGCTTGTAGCCGCCCAGGGCCACCACCACCGCGCGCACCGACGCCGAGGACACGTGGCGGAAGCAGAGGTGCTCCCAGAGGGAGTCGTCGTTGCGCGTGAGGCTGCACCACAGGCGGCACACGCACGCCGCCACCCCCAGCGACGGCCCGTCCAGTCGTTTCAGGATTTCCCGGAGAATGTCCACGTTGTCGTTTATGAAGAACCTCCGTCGCTTCTCCTCTTCTCCGCGGTGCTGCTGCACCATTCTCCCGCCGCAGAAAGTGAGAGAATATGAGAGATATTTTATCTAGTAGAAGTGGATGTGGATGTGGATGTGGTGGGTTTAAGAAGTAACTAAGTGTGCCATGTGATGCTTCAAAACAACAACATACTTTTAATTCTTGTAAAAAAAATAAAAATAAAAATTATTTAAAAGAAATAGTCTGGAATTTATTTATTTATTTTGGTTAAATAAAAAGGTGTGGGGTGAGAGAAGATGGAGAGAAAGATTTTGACTTTGGGTGAAGTTGTGAAGGGTTAGAGTGTTTGTTGTTGTTATGGTTGGAGTTGTGCATGGAGAGAGAGAAAGGTTGTGAGTATCGAGGGGGGAGAAGGGGCCAAAAGAAAGGTCCAAAGCAAATAACTGGAACCAATGCGCTGCTTTTTTCCTCTTGTTGCTTTTCTATATAGGATTCAGATTTGGTGTTTGTTGTTTTTGTTCTTGTTTGTATTCTTTCCATTACCTTGTATCAATTCAGGACCGTTGCAGATCGCAGAGAGAGAGAAGAAAACCCTTCGCTAACTTTGAAATCTTTTATATGCTTCATTCTGCTCTTGCATACATTAAATTAAAGTATGAGAGGTTAAAGTCAAGTACTCAAGTGTGAATTTCAGGCTTCCTGCTTTTCAATGGGGCCATGCCTGTTTCATCACCAAAATCTCATCTCTTCATGCCACAACTCTACAACTCTAAATTCTGCATCTCACGTATCTTTAATGAACTAAAATATTCTTAGGCACCATCTTGTATATATTGGTAAACTTTTTCAATACGAATAATACATTCTACCATAATGTATAGAACTAGAGAGAAAAGGAGATACTATAAAAATTTTAATCGTAATAAATTAATAATGTGATTAAGAGAGATAAACTAAATCTGTCCTTAGCTCTCGGGTGGATTCAAACACAAACGAATCAATGTGTTTTTGGAATCAAATTAATCCAAAAATATATATTATTGTAATTCTCTCATTACATTTATGGGTAAAAATGAGTTAAGTCAAATTTTAAATATATATATATTAAGATAAAATTAAAGTTCAAATTTAACGTATTATTTAGGCTTAAATATAATTTTAGTCCCTCAAATTTAAGACAAATTTATTTTTGGTCCCTCAAATTTAAAACTGTTATTTTTAGTCCTTGTAATTTTCAAAAATCTTGTTTTAGTCCCTTAAGTCACCAGTAACATATTTAAAAGTGACTAATTAAGACAATTATGCAATATCAACCGGATTTAATGTGATATTTTCACTAATAAGGATACGAATAAGTAGATTTTATGCAATAATGTTTGATAAATTTCTTAACAAAATTTGAATATAAGGACTAAAATAAGATTTTTTGAAATTACAGGACTAAAAACAACAATTTTAAATTTGAGGGACCAAAAACATATTTACGCTAAATTTGAGGGACCAAGAACATATTTAAGTCTATTATTTATCATAATTTTTTTTAGGTTTGATTTGATTTTTTTAAAAGTCTAATTTAATTTATTTAAATGTCTATTTTGCATCCATAATGTTATAAACATAATTTTAAATAAACTAACACATCTACCTTTAAATAAGCATGTGAATAGGGATGGCAATGGGGCCGCATGGGGGCGGGTAATAGTAAATCTGCCCCCGCCCCGCTAGATGAAAATTGCTCTCATACCCACTCCATATCCGCGTGGATATCCATTGAGTGAGTATCCATAAATTTCTTGAGTACCCACGGATATCTATGGATATCCATAGATATTTATAAATTTTTTAAGAAATTAAAAAAGTTATATTACAAATAATTTTAAGTCTATATTTAATGTTATTGAAATATTAAAAATTAAAATTTAATGTTAATTTTGAACTTGTATTTAACATTAATTTTGTTAAAATAATAATAAAAATATAAGATAATCAATGACTTAAAATACATCAATATCAAAAGTAAGTTAAAGTTTCATCACAAAGTTACAATAATTCAATCTCATAATTCCAAAAGAAAGTAAACAACTTAAAATACATAAATTTTATTGGTCCAATCAAAGCTAGAAAATTAATCAAATTATATCCAACATAATTTTATAACATGCTTAACACATGTTGGTAACTTCATCAACCTCACTTTTGTAAGAAAATAAGACGAGAGAGTGTAGTTTTAGGGTTATGTGGTACAAAAATAATTAGAATATTTAAGAAATATTATTAAACGGGTACTCGCAGGTATGGATATCATCATACCCGTCCCCGCCCCATTTATAAACGGGTAAAAAATTATCCGTTCCCATTATCCACAGGTACCCAATTAGCCTATCTATTTATTATCCGTAACGGATTTTACCCACAAATATCCGCGGGTGCGGGTATTTTTGTCACCCCTACATGTGAATATTTTTTAATTTGAATGACAAAAAAATTGTGTACTCTATTATCATTAATATTTAGAGTTTAAAATAAGTTAACGTTTAAATACAATAAAAACATAAAAATATTAAAATTTTGATTATATATTTATTTATTTATTTGTATTATTATTAAATAGATAAATAAGTTAAAATATCAAATTTAATATTTCTTTTATATATTTAAATTCAATCTTTTTAAATAAATAAATTTTTTTTAAAATAAAATTATTTTTTTATTAAATATGTCAAGTCAAATTACAAATTTTTATTTAAAATCTAACTTATTTTCATTCTTACTCATCAACAAAGATAACAAATAATAATTTCTTTATAAATATGATTCTTAGTTAAAATTTCAATCATGACTTAAATTTCTAGCGAAGCAATAATGTCCTCCAACTAACTGTTGGACTACTCTACGTGAGTATTGTGAAAGAGTATTTTTCTAAAATATAAAATTAAAAAAACACGAGAGAGGAAATAATAAAATAAATACGGCTTAAATATGTTTTTAGTCTCTCAAATTTAGGGTAAATCCGTTTTTAGTCCCTCAAATTTAAAATTATTATTTTTAGTCCTTGTAATTTCAAAAAATCTTATTTTAGTCTTTATATTCAAATTTTGTTAAAAAATTTATCAAATATTATTGCATAAAATTTACCTATTTATATCTCAATTAGTGAAAATATCACATTAAATCCGGTTAATATTGCATAACTATCTTAATTAGTCACTTTCAAATATGTTATTGGTGACTTAAGGAAAACAATATTTTTTAAAATTATATTTACTAAAAACAACATTTTTAAATTTTATTTACCAAAAACAAATTTATCTTAAATTTAAATTACTAAAAACATATTTAATCTAATAAATAAAGTCATCAATAATCATATTTTAATTTTTTTAATAATAAAATACAAAAAATAATCATAATAAGTTTATGACTTTAATTATTATTATGAAGTATTTTTTTTTTATCAACCCTCCTTATTTTAAAATTGTATACTAATTTAGCGTGTGTTTGCATCTGCGTTGTAACGTGATTTTTCACGTTCAACCTGAAGCAACAAATACCTACTTCTACTTAAATTTGGATGCAAACGTGGAAAAAGACAACTGAATTGCGTTTCAGAATGAAAACCAAACACACACTTAGTAATTTTGAAACAAGAGTATACTACATGAATCGAAAACCAAAATGGGACAAGACACTGAAATGCATGTGTATGAAATACATTAATAGCAGGCAAGTAATGCGATAAGGTTGACAACTAAACTTTACATTTAAGGCGTTGCATTAACTAGGTCCAACATCAAGCAAGAGTTGACGCTCTGGCCTCTACTATCATAGCATCAGACCTCTGTATATTTTTGTAACATTGTTTCCTTTTCCAACACTCCAATCAAAACTTTGGATTCCATCAGTTTTCAAGATTTTGATTAATTATCTTTTTAATTTGGCTTATACCTTGGACTCATTCCACCAAATGTTTCATTTAATTTAAGTGTATAAAAACAAATATACAGTTGGTCACTGATGTAACTTGAAAATATAAATTTAGTCTCCTCAGTTCTTACCAGTTTCATTCTCATGATATAGTATTAACAAAAAAAATCCTTCATTATTTTCATTCCTTATTTGTTAAAATTATTATATAATTGAAATTTTAATAAATCTATGTGTGTGTTTTAGCACATATTTATAGTAATTTATTCTTTAACTCCAAGTTGGACACTAATCTAATGAGTTATTGATATTTATTTAAGAAATTAACTTCTTTTAACAAATATTTTTTATACACATGAATGAAAGATAAGTTCTAAATCACATATTTAAGAAATATGATTATTTATCAATCATATCACACTTTAATGATAAACTACTTTTATTATACTTTTATTTTGTAGTATTTGACATTGTGAAGTAAGCATATCATTAATTATTTGGTAGAATACTTATGTTTAATGTAGACCACAAAAAATATAAGTGTGATGCAAATAATTTAATTTGCTTAGAAAAAAGAAAGATGCCCTAATAACTTAAAGACAATAAGATGGACTTTGTTTTGCCCTTCAATGGGGCTGGCATTGGAGCACCAACAGTGCATTTCAGAAACAAAAAGAGAATGCAGTGCAGCAAGCAGAACTACAATGAGAAATTTTGGTGATGAATGGTTTCAATAAATGGCAAAGAAAGGAGGATGAATCATGTTCCACCAAAGTAGTTCCTAAACTTTTTTCCTTCCCTAGTCAGACACACGACTAGAAAAGTCATGGTACAGCATTTGGAAAAAAAAATTATGTTAATTTTTTTAATAGGAACAAAGAAAAAGGTGAATAGAGTTTCAAATGATGGTGAGGCAGTGACTATTGAAATGTCTCATGGGGTTGGATTTTCTCCTACAAAGGCAAAGTTTGAGACAGAAAGCATAAAATATAATATGATTTAGTTAGGGGTCTTGAAATTGACATCTGATTTATTAATTAGTGTTCTGTGGAGGGACTAGACCCCACTGAGAGTGTGTCATAAGAGGTTGTTTTTATTAGGTTGGACTTGTTCGTTGGACACACTCGAGGGAAAGCACTGTTCCCTATTCTTGCTCTTAGCAACTCGATAAGTGCAAAACTACAAGGAGATGGTCGTAACCAAAAAATTTCACCAATTTTTTTTCATCTTTCTCCCCTAACAACTATCATTTGTACTTTGTTGTTGTAAAGTTGTGCCTGCATACTAATTGGTCAACTAGCTAGTATATGATCAGAGATTCTACCATTGTCATGACCATACGTCAACATATACATCTAGAGCAGAGTTCAATTATAGACTCAATCATCTCACCACTGTGGTCCACTGTTAATGTCATTATACTATCAGATAATTCCATCTTCTCATTTACCTTGTGTATTGCTTTCTTGTTTTCTTTATCAGTTGGCTAGCTAGCTAGGACTTTGTGTTTGCCAAACTTGATGTGGATCATGTAACATTTATGTATACAGGCTAACTAAAAATTTAATTAAAAAGTTAATAATTAATATACAATCACAACAACATCTTAATGGCTATAAGGAAAAGTCATGCTATCCTTAAAATATAATGAACAGGTCAA